TCTTGTTTAATGTATCAAACTCATCAAGTAAAGACATGTGATTGCTATCTAAGCTAAAATATTCATATATCAAACATGTATTCACTTTTTCCAAAGTAGTAAAGTTAGTGTTTAATCTAGCATATATTTTCTTGAGCTTCTTCTATGCATTATAAATTTTTTCTAAAACTTCAAAGAACTCATTATAAGAAGCTCATATACCTTCTCTTGATAAAAAAATATCAAGATTATCGTTAGCCATAAGACACAAGTTTATGACCTCCTCATCTACTTCTTGTTCTGATGATTTTGAGGCATAGTCAAACCAAAATGCCTTTTGTGTCATACTCTTCCCCTTCCTAAATTTAACCTTTTCTTCACCCAACCCTTATGTTTGACTGGGTGAGTTTTCAAATTGGAGCAGTCTGTTCGTAGATGTTTTTATTTCTTACATTCAAAATATATTGTGTTAGATGACACTTCAAATTTTTTATTGCTTTTACCTTTTCTCCACTGTTGTTTATGACACCTTTGCTTCTGCTTTAAAAAGCTTTTGAACTTGATGTCATTAACACTATGTCTTCATCCTCCTCTACTATAGAATTGTCACTGTCTGAATTATTCGCTTTCAAAGATAGTCTTCTCTTTCTTTTTATCACCTTCATCATTTAGTTATTGACTAATGCCTTTCTTATAGGCAATGAGTGACCTAAGTATATTATCAAAAAAATAGACATTTAGATCTTTTGATTATGTAATTATAGTAATTTTAGCATCACACGCACCAGACAGGAAATGTAGGATTTTATAACTATTTTAGAATTTAACGATTCTCTACCTAATGCACGAAGGGATGACACTATCTGTGTAAACCTAGGGAACATTTCTAATATTGATTTACTAGGTTTCATGCAAAAGAATTCATAATTATGTATCAAGATGCTTAATCTAGACTATTTTACTTCACTAGTTCATTCATATGTAATGCACAATCTATCCTAGATTTTCTTTCCAGTAATATATGTGGATACACACATATAGTTTTCAAATTTCAAAGTACAAAAAAAAAAAATCAAGATATTTAGCATTTAACAGAACAAATTCTCTATCATCTTAACTCCATTAAGTATAAGAAATATCAGTTTTTACACCGTTCACAATACATGATGGTAAAGAATATCCAAATTGAATCATATGCCACATCCTAAAATAAATAGATTGTAAAAATATTGACACATGAATTTTCTAAAAATCAAAGGGTATATTCTCAAACAAAGTTGGATGGGTTATGGACAACCCTCAATAGTATTCCTATTACCAAAATGCGCCATTAAATCCATACTTGAAGATTTTAAAATCTAATTGTCAAGAACTACTCTGATACCAATTAAAAGTTTGATAAATATGTTAACCCTAAGTGACTTACCCCTAGATACGCCAAAAGGGGGGGGGGTGGAATTGGTTGGGTGAATTTAAAAACTAATTGCTTAATTAGAAACAAAGGCACTATTTTTGAATTTTTTAATAATTGAAAAATAAGTAACAATATTCACTAAGTATGGAAGCAAACAAATTTAACAAAATATCTAAGAAACAATTTCACAGTTTTCATAAAGCAGTTATAACAAAATTAAAATACAAAATGTAAAATATGGATAATATAAATTAGAATAAACATACCAGAGATTTATAGTGGTTTGATCAAAAAATTACCTACGTCCACTCCCATAAGTCCTCCACTCTAAGTATTGCACTATCACTATAGTGTCTCTCCTTTTGCCCCCACAACAAGGTGAATATGCCCTTACACAAATCTCTTCCATCAAACCCAGTGCTGCGGAGAGTTGGAAGCTTTGTCACCCTCCAAGAGATGATAGTAGACCTTCAATCTTTTTCTCCCTCTTGGAGAAGAGAGAGTACCTTGATATCCTTTCCCTTGTGATGGCAGAGAACCACGCCCTTGAGCTAAAGAAATTCTTCTAAGAGTCAGCGAAGAAACCTATATAAAGACTTGGAGGAACAAGGCCAGACAATTTACTTGCAGCAACCGTGTGAACCCCTCACACCACTTCTCCTCATAGTCAAGTTCTCCCTTTTCTTCCCAAAGCTCTTCTAGATATTATTCTTAAATCTCCCTCTTAAGAGCACTCAGCAGCCAAATACTTGAATCAAGTCAATGAGAGAGATTAAATACATGACATCATATGAAAACCTAAAATTCAATTATACAACTCTGATCGTTTAATATAATCAAGGATCATCCTGTACGATTAGTTCAAAGTACTCCTATTAGTACTGTATAAAAAATAGGTGTTGTACAATCAGTTCAAGGAATTGAGCTAATTGTCCAAGATGATTCAGAGCCTCGTCCAATACAATTAGTTCAAACAACTTGGATAATCATCTACGATTCGTGATAATTTAATTATCTTCACATGTAAGAATCGGGTCGTGTAGTATGATTGGTTAAATCGTCCTATACCATATGAGAGGATCAATTAATCCAAATTTGTTTCTTAATCACAGGATTAATTTAGGAAATATTTAAATATATTGTACAATACGATACCTATTGTATAGTATGAAGAGTACAAAATTTAAATTTTAGAATATTGCTTAAATCATGATTAGCGGTTGGAAACTTGATTTTAACTGATCGTCCTGCATGATATACATCATACAATATGATTAGTTTATCTTGCATTAATTATCATAATTAGTTGTAGTAATCATTTTCTGATTAGATGATCGTACAATACGATATAAATTATACAATAGGATTAAAAATGGAAGTTCAACTCCTAATATTATCAATAACTCACTCTCTTGAGTGTATTTGTGCATGGTTGCCGAGTTTAGTATCCACCAAAAACATGATTTGACTAAAAAATATAAAAATACATAAGAATTGAAAATACAGACTATTCACGACATACTTAATCCTAGTCTAGCTACCCAATCTTGAGCTGATCAAACTTGTAAGTGTAAGGTGGATCTAAAATGTTAGTGTATGGAAAACAAACAAATATGAAATAATAGTAATTAACATGAGATATTACAGTAAGAAATTCAATAATGTTTGTTATCATCAAAATTATAGGACTTGGGTCCAGATTTGCAATAGAAGCTTTTGAAGTAAGAAACCGATCTTGCATAGATGAAAAATACGTGGAATGAAAATAGAAATTTATTATCTCAAAATTTAGCTTAAAAAGAAAAAGAAAAAGAAAAAAAAAAAAGAAGAGAATGCACTAAAGGTTTTTAAGTTAAGTGCAGGCTTTACATGAAGAGAATGAAAACAAATATTCTACTTTTATTTTATTAAAAAAAATATAATGTTTACTAAAAAATCAATTTATATTAAATAAATATTAGATCTAAACAGCCAGAAAGTGACTAGTCAAATGGTCAAATTAAAAAGATTTTCTAATACATGTTAATGACTAGCTAGCTTAAATTATAAAAATCAAATAATGTTTAAAATGTTATAATGAATTCAAATTAATCAAAAGTAGGTTTGTAACCTATAAAATTATATCTACAAAATCTTGTGAGTCTAATGGCATAAAAATCAAGTTTAAATTTAGTGAATTTAAAATGCTTTTTATTAAAATACGAATTCATACATATTTATAGTTATTTTCAAACATATTAAATGTCTTTCAAAAAATCTAAAATAATTTAAATAAAATTATATATATGTTTGTAAGTTATCATAATAATTTTTAATTCAAAATGAATATTTCGACTATACATAATGAATTTTAAGCATATAAATTTATTATTTTTTAATTATCTTAATTAAATTTGATGCTATATATAAAGCGTTTAAAATACCTAAATTTATTAACATATAATTACAATAATTGAAAAATTATTGATATCTAATTCACGTTTATTATTCTTAATTAATATAAAGTAAATTAATAGAATATATTAGCTTGTGATCAAATTAAATCATGTAAATAAACTTCTATGATCATCTAAGATATTTCTAGATATATATAACATGGAATATTATATCTAAAGCTCTTAGCTATCCATCTTTAGAACTTTTATATTTAAATTTTAATTGAATTATGAGTACAATATATAGTCCAAACAAGTATTCTTCTAGCATATATAAATGAAATCATTACACCTAAAATACTTAGCATATATATTAGGATATCAAAAGATACATTTATTATCATTAAAGTCAATATAATATGTTATGAGGCTTCTAAAGCTAACATAGGCCTCACGGTTTTTTCCATTTTCAAGTTTTTCACCTAAACATTTCGTGTCACTTATATATTTTTTATTTTATTTGTATGCGTTGGATTTTTGTATAAGTGTAAGACTCAATTTTCTCTCTAATTCTATAAATATTCTAAACCACTACATAACTATTTTTAAATAATGTTTCATCTCATATTTGAGATTAAAACCAAAAAAAAAAAAAAAAAAAAAATGTTGATCTAACTTGGACCACAAAACAAGTATTGAATGCATGATATCCACATAAATATCATGCATCATCTATGCATTAGAACTTATTTTCGGCTCTATTTTAAGAGCTATAATATTGATCCTTAAAATTTAAGAAAGTGGTAAAATATCTTATTTAAAAATTCCAACTGTTTTCTTTCTTTCTAAATTTTAAATACCAAAATAGAATAGAATAATTACTTTCCAAATAGTGCTAAAGTAAGATCAATTAAGGTGTGATGAAACTAATAATTTAAAAAAAAATTATTTTTAAAAGATATGCATTGGAATTTAAAGACATATAATTATAATTTTTCAAATAATAAGTTTAAGGATTTTTTAATAAATTACTCGTAGGAGTTGGAAATCGGGTAATGGAAGTTTCATTTCACCTTGCCAAGAAATTAACGATTTTTTATGCCGTATTGACCTGAATCACACGAACCGAAGAATTCGGTCCAGTTTGGGCTGTTTAGAGCCAATTTGGACGGGCCAGATTGTTCCCTTCCGACTGGAGCGCTCAACCGACGTTGCATCCCATCACCCATGTTTCTTTGTTATCAGTAGTCACCATTCGACACCCTTCAAATTTATTACACAAACTCATCTCCTACTTCGACGGGCGGCTGTTTCAGATTTTAGGGTTTCTCTTCTTCTCTACCATCTCATAACCTCAGCTCCTAAACCCTAGCATATTCCTCCCTGCCGCTTATTGTTATTGAGAGGTATGCCTTTTCTTTCTTTTTATTGCTCATTAATCTACTATCCATTCTTTTTGTGGTAGGGATACAAGCAGAGGATCAACCTTTCTGATTAACGTTCATTAATCTTCTCCTCGTGGCTTACAGTATTCATTTGATTCTTTTCTAATTTATCGGATATCGATCCTTGCCTAGTTTTCTTCCTTTTTTGGTATTTCTGCGCGTTTTTATATCATCACAATGATGCTAATGCCAACGCAATGAACGGCCTAAAGGATTAGACTACCAAAAAGATGGAAATTACATATTTGATATTACATGCATGGGAGTTAGATTTAACGTGGAAGTCTTTTCTTTTGGGTTCATGGTTGTTAATTGTCAATTGATTAACTGCCTTTATAATTGAATCTCAGTGATTTTTATGCTTATAATTTACCTTTGTTTGAAAATTTTCTCTTTTCTTGCCATTTAAAGCCTTTTTTGTTTCTCCACTGATTATTTTCCATGACATCTTGGTTCCATAACTGCAAAATTGAGTGGTTTTTGAGGTTGGTCTTTTGCTATTAGCTTTCCTCAGAGCCTTAATCTTCAGAGAACAACACTATATATGATTCTAAGGCTCTGCTTCTGTATCATTGCCGTATAACATCTAGCTTACATATATGGAATGTGTGCAGATTGATATCACAATGAGCTTAATTCACATAGATTGGGTATAATGTGCAATTCTGAAGCATTCATTGTTACTTTTTAAAATAAATGTGCGGCAACTCCTTGCTTGTTACATTATCACTTATTGTTGATTGGGTTGAGATTGATGATTTGAACAACTTAATTTTCTTTTGTATTTCCTAATATCATATTGTGTTATAATTGCTACTAGAGGCTGGCTTTATGAATCTCAGTTTCCCTCCATTCTTGTTGATTGTTGAATGTGGTGATAAATTTATTTTGACTAAATCCTTTTGCACAGATTCAAATATATGATCTTTGGTTTACCGCTTTTCCTTACTAATCCTTTGATATTAATTTATTTACTAGTCTTACTTGTGCATCCTCTATCCTCTTTAATACATGTTCTTTTGTATTGAGCTTGTAATGATTATTTCTATATCCAATGATATTATTTAAATTTTTTTGTTTGTATCAGGATCTATTTGGTTTGTGTAGAGTTTAGTGTTTTTTCTATAATTTTACAGGTTAAAGTGTGGAAATGGTACTTCTTACATAGTGATACAGAGTCATTGCAAGAAGCTAGAATTCTAATGGAGAGTATAGATGGAACATCAAATGCGAATATTGATCGAGCAGAAGAACTTAAGATCTTAGCCAATGAAGCATTTAAGGGTAATGCATTTATCTTTTAAATATGTGAATGGGGAGTATTTTTTATTCCTTTGGAGCCCCCTTTAACACATTGGTCTTGGTAGAAACACTTAATTGGGCTTAGGAAGAGGGTCATGTTTATTTGCATTCAATTAACAAGTGTTCTTGTTTCCATTTGAGATGGTAGCTCCTACCTTTTTTTCTCTGATAAGCAGAGGGACTAAAACAAGTTGATGGCGATAATTTTACATATCGATGGTGCACTTTTATGTGGATTTTGTTTTTGAATTGTCTTCCCATGGTTCCTTGCAGCGAATAGATTTTCTCAAGCTATTGATCTATACAGCCAGGCTATCAATCTAAATGGGTATAATGCTGTGTATTGGGCAAATCGTGCATTTGCACACACTAAGCTTGAGGAGTATGGCAGTGCGGTGCAAGATGCTACAAAAGCTATTGAAATAGACCCTAAATATTCGAAGGTAGCATGTTTTTCTTTGTAGAATATCCGTACACAAAATAATTTTTTATCCTTGATCTAAATGTCCTCTCTTTGTTGTTTTCTAGGGCTATTATAGGCGAGGGGCAGCATATCTAGCCATGGGGAAGTTTAAGGAGGCTTTGAAAGATTTTCAGCAGGCATATTCAAATCTCTTGAACATATTTACGTGATATACAATTGACAGATGCATGAGGGCCTTCTTGGGTCATGTATAAATTCTATGCAAAAGTAACCTTAAGCACGTGTGTGCGTGATTGTAGGCGTGTAGGTATAGAAGGCATATGTTTGAGTCTTGTTTCCATGTACATGTGTGTTTATTTGTGTCTCCCTGTGTCTATGCATTTGCATGTATAATGGTGTCTTACTGGAATAAAGCTTAGGAATTTCTCATGTTCGGTCATGTGTGATGGAGTCTTAACAAACTAAGCAAGCTGTCATGCATTTGTGAATGCATTACTTAATGTATTGAGCAAGCTTGCATGGGCTTACTGAATCTCAGGTGTTCCTATGTATGTATAAGAAATGAGGGAATAGAATGGGATGGGATGGGGGTAAAGCAGATACACTGATCTAATAAAAGGTTTAAAACTGAATATGTATATTGATTTCGTACTTTCTAACTATTTTTCTTATGTTAATTTTCCAGACATCCAAAACTTGACATGGACTTTGTATTTGTAATTCAAAGAATCAAAGCTTATGAAATGGGCATTCTAGCTTTTTTCTTGATATGCGAGTGATATCCTATTTTATCTGTATGCAAGAAGCCAATTTCATTTAATATCCTCTAAATTTTTATCATACTAACTTATTTGAAGTTGTATCTCGTACCTGCGATGGAATTAATGCATCACTTATGCTTGTATTTGAGAACCATTGAAAATTTTCCATGCTTGGATTAAATTGATATGAGCAGATGTAGAGAATGCATAAATTATAAGGTAATCTGCATACAGAAGTAATCTGCCTTTTGTGTTTAATAATTTCAAAGTTTAGTTTGGTATAAATGTACTCATACTATACCTTTTGAATAAAACTGACCACATTTTTGTATTCTGCGCTGCTGCATAAGTTGGTCCATGTACTCTTAATGCCTCATAGAAGGTTTAACTGTAAAATGATTATTTTCTAAGAACATTCTCCTTGCATCTCACAATTTTGCTTCGTGAAAAGTTAGATAGGAGAAAAGCTGCGCTAGATGAAGTCTATGCTTTAGTGGTATATGCCTGCAGCTTTTCAGCAAATAGAGACAAAAAGATTGTAGTTTCTACTTTTGATAGTTTGATTTGGACAGTCCACCAGATTGTTCTCATCATTATTCTAATACTTATTTTTGAAAATTTTGAAACGTATCATTGAATTTTTTCATGTTTTTTGACACTTAATAGGTGAAAAAAAATTGCCCCAATGATCCAGATGCCACAAGAAAACTGAAAGAGTGTGAAAAAGCTTACCAAAAGATACGATTTGAAGAGGCTATTGCTGTGAAAGATTCTCAAAGACATTCTGTTGCGGATTCAATAGATTATCATAGTATAGGTATTCATGTTAGCCCCATCTTCTCTTTTTACGCTCTTTATCTCCTCATGTTTTTTTATTTAATCATTCAATGTTGAGCTGCAATTGTTCTCCAATGAGTGGTAGGAGTGGTGAATATTATGAATATTTTGGCATTTATTGTTAACTGGATATCTTATGGTTTTTGATAAAAGTATACATGATATGTTGAAAGAAATACTCTGCTCTCATAGCTTACTCATATTCAGTTGTATAAACAACTTTCGTTGATTGTGCCTTACAATGCAATATCTTCAGTTATGCGAAGAACCTCTATATTGTTATGGAATTTATTTGTTGTTTTAATGAATAAGAGCTGAACTATAGACTTCTTATGCTGGGTTATGCATTTTGCTGCTATATTCAATCATAATACTTCTTTGAAAAATCATTCTATCTGCCTATATTTTACTTTTAAAGTTGATACATTGCAAAAATTTATGTTGTAGCCACCATTAAATAAGTTTTCTTTTTGAATCAATTAACATTAGCTTCAACTTAGTTTTGGTACTTGGGGTTGCTTTGTTTACCTTTAGCCACTTGTTTCAACTTATGATTGTGGAGCCACTTGTTTCACATTTATTTGCTCGTTTACTATGAGCCCCACTAGTTATATCGTGGTTGGATTCAACATTACTTTCTTTTTCTTGTTTTTCCCTCTTTGACTATTCCACTGCTATTGTAAGTTTCTTGCCCCTATTTCAGGATTCTCAAAATCATTCCTGTTAGTCGTTCTTTCACTTGTGACGTAGTTGTCTGGTGGTGGCCAAATCTTGATTCTTTGTTTGTATGGATCTCTCACTTTCATCCTGGTGCTCAATGACTTGGCGTTTGGTCCTAAGCATCAATCTTCTTGCAACCATCTTAGAGGATATGGATCCTAATTTTTTTGTGGGTTACACTAGAATCTTGCTAACAAGGATGAATAAAATAAGAGAAAAAGGAGGAAAGAAAATATGGCAGTCGAATCTTCTAACCCTTATTTATAGGATTGCATCAAATTTCATTGCTACATGAAAGACAAGATTTGAGTAATATAAGTAACATCACTAAACAAGGCTCAATAGAAATTTTCTGTAAAATAAAAACCTAGCTAACCTATAGTTATCTAATTACATGATTTGCTTATAAGATCTATGTATATAATGATATCCTTAAGAATAATACTTATTTGATGAAGTCTCTGGCGACTGCAACTGATTAGTTTTGGATACTTGGATGCCTTCAATAGCTGAATTTGCTAGGCGAGTTCAAATACTATCATAGTCAAATATAGGTTTAGTTGAATTCAAATGACAAACATGATGACTGGGAATCAAATAGATTTGACGAGTATCCTTGGAAACTTAAATTAATTAAGTTAGTTAGCGATATCATTCTATCTATTAATGAATTCAACTTTGCAGCACATTGACTTAATTGCTTGATGACATGAATTTGGTTCATGAGAACAACCAGACTATATTAATTAGGCCCAAATGATATTGGCTGTACATTAGTTTCTGAATTTCCTTCTCTTTAAAGGGAAAAAAAAACAAGATAATAGAAAACTAAATTTAATCCATGTTGAACTGTTGCATATGGTGATTGATTGCGTCGATTTGTCACCCCTTTTTGGTACACATTGCAGCATTGCTAGAGGGCCTATAAGCATTGACTCAAAGGGGCTCATTTTGGATTTCTTTTCCATGTCAGTCATCTTCTTCCTTAGCTTTGTAACTTCCTTTCTTTGTTAATTCAAATGAAGCACTTTGATGGCCTTAAGCTTGGCAACTGCTCAAGAAGAGAACTATTCTCTTATTTTCTTAACAATACAAGTAGAAAGTTTTTCAAACGATGGTATATATGGAATCAGTACTACAACCATAACTATCTCAAAGAAAATAAAGATTGAACTTAGTAGTTGTTTGGTTGGCTGTAAAGTGAATGCAGTGTAAAATAAATGTAGTGATTGGGTGTGTGCAAAATAAAATAAAATCAGCTGAAGGGGCTCTGCTGGGGCATTCCCACAAACACTTGGCTTGCAAAAACCTATAGCCATGTAGTCTTGGATGGCTGAATTGGGGAATTCTACACACCTTGCTTCAATTTGGATCAATTGCTCAATGATAAATCAATGACTAATCATTAGAAAAGACAAATCAACATTCCCACACGGAATGTTCTTGTTCGGATCGCAAACCTGCATGTTCGCATCGACGGGCTGTTCATGCAAGGAGTCCCGAACCTGTTCGTGACTTGCCTGCTCCAAAACTTGGCAATCTAGGAAGGACAAAGACGGGGAAGGGGAGGTGGCCCAAGTGCTCGTGGAGGAGGACGAAGAAGGCGAAAGAAACAAGCCATCGTATGAGCTTTGAGAAACTGAGGTGAGGGGGTGGGTGGCGCGGCTGACTCTGGCGATGGAGGAGGCGGTGGAGAGCAGTGTAGGAATTGATATAGGAGTTGGCGATGGAGCAAAGTACGACAAGGACTGTGAGGAGGGTCTTAGGGAGTCTGAGATGGAGCGGGTGAGACCAGAAGGAGATGAGTGTAGTATGGAGCTCGCTGAGTGAGGGATTTAACTGTAGGACGCCAATGAAAATGCAAATGCCAATGCCATGATTCAAGAGGAAGGGAACATTGTCGAAGTGGGCGACCGTGGCTTCCGATTCTAGAGGAAGGGAACGTTGTCCAAGCGATCGATTCTGAATGTCGTGCCTTCCGTTCCGAGAGGAAGGGAACGTTGTCGAAGCGAGCAAACCACTATCCGAACAACAACGAAGTCGAAGCGAGCTCTTCCTTGCCTTCCTGCAGGCTTCTCTCTTACCGCGCACGGTGATTTCTTTTTTCTCTCAAAACGGGCGGTTTTACTTTACGCGGAAATTTTACTGCCGCTGGGAATTTTTAATACACTGGGATTTTACTTTATTTTGTATTTTGTCCAACCAAATATAAAAAAGCAATGCATTTCTTTTACAGTGCATTCCTTCTTCCTCCAACCAAATAGTCCCTTAGCGAAATGAGAAAGGAAACTACCGATCTTGGGAGCTCGGTCGATATTCCTACTTCCCTAAGTCATCCTCCACCTCAAACAACAAATCTCAAAATTGTAGTTGTTAAGGATGTATCTACTTATTGCTTAAGGTCAAAGTGAGCTGGTTGAGATTCCTTTAATTAAGTATGATAATGTTATCATTAAATTTACTATAAGCAAACTTTTTCATACAATTCAAGTGGTTGATAATGAAGCGAAGTTTGCTTTAGGAGTGATGACTAGTATTTGCTCTTGATTATCCATGTTAATTCACTAAATGAATGAGCATTTGTGTAGTGATATTTTTGAAAATTCACCTATTTGGGAATCTTTTGTAGACCGCCCAAATTTTAAATCCCTAAAAAAAGGATAAAAACTCCTGATGGTTCTTTTATATAGGATTTTTTTTTTACTGAAAAAGCTCAAGTTCCTACAGTGGCAGAGGCCTTGGATGTTCCTAAAGAAATCAATACTGGAAAATCTGTTCCCGAGCCCTGAGGAATTAGGGAAAAGATCAACAAGATTGATTTAATTTCCCAACCTATTAAAGTCATTGTTGAAGGTTAGAAGAAGTCTTAAAATTCTTTGGAAGATTGTCCAAAGGCTTGCAGTTCGGTTCCATCCAAGAGGAGTTGACGTTTCTTTTTTGATCGAGTAAATTGATGAGTTGACGGCTAAAGTTTTATCCTTGAAATGTACTGTAAACACCAATCAGGCTCGCACGAACTTCGATGGAGCCGACTTTGTGGATTAATTTACTGTACATAAGGTTGCTTGATGTGTTAGCCAATCATTCATTTATAATGTCAGATGAAGTCTTCAGTGATTTGTGCAAATACGTTCTAGGATTGAATGCCGAAGTTATCTCAACTCGCTAGTTCATGGAACTATCTAGGTCCAAACAATTATTGCTGGGGCAATTTTGGTTTAGGGTCCGATGCCTTTATCTACATTCATGTATCTTAGAGGATGTGGATCCTAAATTGTATATTGGTGACACAAAAACCTTATTACTAATAAGCGCAGATAAAATAAGAAGAAAAAAGAAAGAGAAATATGGCAATCTTATCCTCTAAATTTCTATTGGTAGGCTTTTGTTCGATGTTCAAAGCTCGGGAAAGGCTAAATTTGAGTAATGCAAATAAAATTACATTGCAATACTTAGCAAGTATTGTTGCAAAATGAATAAACTTTACTACTTTGTTGCTATCTAATTGCATGGATATCTTCTGATGGGATATGGGCAGAGAGTGAGATTCTTCATAATGATGCTTCTTTGATGTTTGACAACTTAAATTTGAGCTAGCTAGTTTCATTGGATATTTGTGTGAATTCAATAGATGAATTTAGTAGGCGCCAAAGATAGGTTTAACTGAGTTCAAATAATGAATATGATGGCCAGGTACTGAATAGATGTACGAATAGCCTTGATGACTTGGACTTGTGAGTGATTTAGTGAGATTGTTTGATCTCTTAGCGACTTTAACTTTGTGGTGAGTTGACTTAATTCTTGCACGGCTAATTCGAATTCGAGTCATAATAATAACGAGTCTTGATTAACCCTGTTCATATGACATTTTGTATACAATCTTGATTTTGTTTTAGCATAACTTTTGCTGTTGGATTAGACGATATATTTTTCTTTGATGATGCAACATATAAATAGAAGAAGATTAAAAAATTACCACTATGGGTTTAAAATTTGTAAAGACGGCAACTGTCAATTTCCTATCCTATCTTGGACGTTTGTTTTATGAACTAAGATGGATTCTAATTATCTTAAGAGGGATTAGTATTGTGCATAGGGTAGGTCTTTTGTGGGACATTGTAACTGCATTGTCTAGAAGATGTAAATTTCTTGTTTCCTATACCCTTTGAGAATGACCTCAAACTTAGATTATATATATATATATATATATATATATATATATATATATATATATATATTTGTTTAATTGGTTGTAGATTTTCCAAATCTAGGTGTTTACATAAATTATGCTACTATTTCGTATCTTTAGTTCATGTCAATTGTACTGTTTATGGTCTTTGATTTCTATCATATGACAGAGGTGGAGCTGCAATATAATGGCGCAAGAATCGAGGGTGAAGTGGTAACTCTAGATTTTGTAAAGAAAATGTTGGATGATTTTAAGAATCAAAAATATTTACACAAAAGGTGCTTACTAACACTGATAGTCGGTTAATTCATTTCAAGGTTTAATAGATATTCTAAATTCCATTTTGACATGCTATTAACTTGGATGATTTTGTGCTAGGTACGCATATCAGATCATCTTACAAGCCAGAGAGATGTTGCGAGCTATGCCTTCTCTTGTGGACATTACTGTTTCGGATGGTCATCATTTTACAGTTTGTGGTGATGTTCATGGGCAGGTTGTGTTTTAAAACATCTTTGCAAGGATCTTCAAACTAATGCACAACTGTTTATTGCTTAATACAACTAATGTATTTTCTTTCCAAAGATGGAAAGAATCGTTTCTCAATTACGGGGTCAGCATGATAAAACTGAGAAGTTGAACAACAAATGCATGGACCAATTCTAATCCTAACATATAACAAAATATAATTGAATTTACCCGGATTTGATTCTTATTAAATATGAGTGATAGTATTTATTTATTTTTTATTTTAAAATAGTTATTTATTCCCTTTTCACTTGTCTGATGTCACTGTGTGTTTTAAGTTACTTGAAACTTCAAAATGTCGGTCATGAGAATAGTACTTGTCTATACAACATGTAGTTCCAACTTCTAGTTATGCTTAGAGGTACAGTCCTGCTTTTCCTGCTGCATCCTTTATCTTTATCATGCCTCTCAGACTTGCTGTGCTAATCCGGGCAGCTTTATGGATCCCCATGCCCATGCCCTTTAGCAAGAGTAAGCAGGAGTATTCACTTTTCAGGCCTAAAATAACTGAGCAAATATGACGGTATTGTTCAACAAAGCACATTATAGGGTGCGGGAAGGGCTTATTAAATCCTACCTTATCCTTGGTTTGTCAACGATCTGCTGTGAACCAATCCCATGACCTCTAGGTTATATTGGAGGCAATCTAATAATTGCTGCCAGCCTGCTTTCACCAACAGCATAGCATACAAGAATTGTTTAATCACTCTAAAATTTTAGATCTGTTGTCTGTTTATTTTATGATCATTCCATCTTCATCAGAGCTATCAGCTAGAGGAAATCTTTTGCATCGTGAACTTCTGAGCTTGATATTTATTGAGCTTTTTTTTTGCATGTAAACTTCCATTCGCTTTTCTTATGTTTGTTTGAACTGAATTTATTGTACTTTGCAGTTCTATGATTTGTTGAATATATTTGAGCTGAATGGACTTCCTTCAGAAGAGAATCCTTATCTTTTTAATGGAGACTTTGTGGATCGAGGATCCTTCTCTGTCGAAGTTATTCTAACACTATTTGCATTCAAGTGCATGACTCCATCAGGTATACCTTTAGTTTTTGTTGTCATATGGTTTTTTGATTTTGAAATATTCAAATTCTTCTTTAACTTTCTTTTCCATTGTAATGGTTTGGTTGGGGATTTTATTAATAGAATTCAAGTTGGATGATTGGAGTGGAGGAATGCCTCGGGCCTCTTTTGTAATAGAAAAGTACCTCTGAAACTTATGAAAAAAATTTATAAGATATTAGTGAGACTGCAATACTTTATGGCGCAGAATATTGGCAATTAAAATAGAATCATAAAATTAAGTTAACTTTTGCAGAGCTGAGGATGCTCATGTGGATGAGTGGCATTACACTTAGAGACAGAATGCAAAATGAGTATATATGTAAAAAGGTTGGAGTAGCTGCAGTGAAAAATAAGATTAGAGAGATGCCTCAGATGATTTTTCACATAAAACGTTGGCCTTTTGATGGCTCTGTTAGGAGATTAGATGCATTAGATTTAGCTTATGTTAAGAATTATTGAGTTAGACTTAAAAGGACTTGGTTAGAAAGTATTAAAAATGATCTTTTTTATTTAGTTTAAATGAAAATTTTACTCTTAATAGGATACTATGAAGAAAATAGATTTAGTAATGAAATTATAGGATTAATGTTTCACTAAGTTAAGAATTTCAGTTTTTGTGGTTCTCGACTTGCTTCAAGTATACCGTTACACGTTAGATTAACAGGACAATCCAAAATAATAACAATAAAATAGTAAAACAAATATGCGGTTAATGATAATCCATCACTTAACAATTAGAACTTTCACCTTCGAGTTTCCCTCTCGATCGCTCTTTGGGAGTAGAGTTAGCGGAGGACGAAGGTTAGCAAGCCAAGTGGTGCCATCGAATAACAGAGGATGCCGGCGGTTTTGATCAACGGAGAGTTGGCTGGAGTTGGAGAGACGGGTGGTCTTCCGGTGATCTTCCATTGTCCTGTAGGTTGTTGCTCGTCAATGATGCCCACCAAAGTAAAGAGAATATGCTCCACGTATTCCTCGACGATGCGTTCAAATCCAAATCCGGGATTGAAGAAATGTAATTGAATGATGTCGATTTCCTCTTGAGAATTATAAATGAATCCGTGATCAACTTCCGGATCTGCCATCCATGAGCTTGAGAGTATCCGTGTGGTTCTTTGGTGGAGCCGCCGGTTAGGAGAGGTGGAGAAGGGTGGCAGAGAAAGAGGGTAGCCGGCAGTAAGGAGGAGAGGAGAGGATAGGGACGGGTAGAGCTAGGGTTTGAATGGGGAAAATGGATTTTCAATAAATCAGAAAATCTGAAATTAATTCAGATTTTCCTAAGAGGGAAGGGAGGAAATAAATTGAATTTCAATTATTCCACAAAGGGAAAGGGGCCGCAATTTAGGAGGAAATTAGGGAGGCTTTAATGGGGATTAGGAGTTAAATAGGAGAGAGAATGGCTTGATTAGGGGGGTCAGCCATGGGGAAACTAGAGAGAAGTGTTTTGTTTTAAGTAGGTGAGACAACAAGGAATAAATAGAGATTTAAAACAAATTTGAATTTAATTTCAGATTTGTTTAAATTAGGGAGGTTTCCTAATTTAAATTCTAGCCTTAGGAAAGAATTTGAACTCAATTGTTTAATTGAATTCCAATTAGAAGCTTTCCTAATTAGCTAAAACCTATTTTAGGAAAGTGCTTAATGGGTATTTGAAATTTAAATTTCAAATTTGGGGAGACATGGGAGGGCTGGCGGCTGGAAGGGTGGTGGCTAGTAGGTAGGGCGGCCAAGGGATGCCGACGGCGTGGGAAAGGCGAATTCGGTTTTGGGATGGGATGGGGCAACAGGAAGAGGAGGCCGGTTGGTGGAGGAATGGAATTGGTGTGAAGGTAAAGGAGAATGAAAAAGTCGAAGAACCGCGAACCTCGAAATCCACCAAGATTGACGGGTATTGCTCTCACCCTCGCCTAGGGTTTCTGCTCTAAAGAACTCACAAAGAGATCAAGCAAGAAAGTGGAAATATCATTCATAATTATCATTAGAAAATAATACAAAGACTAGGCCTTCATATATAGACCTCCAAAGCACAAAATGTAAAAGACACAAATGCCATCAAGCTGCAACATGACACAAACCCCTCATAGGGGTACAAGTGGAAAACTGAAAAATAATTAAAAGAAATGCACTAAAACATCATAAAAAGAAACTATGAATCATAGTCGTCGATCTACGATTCTGTCGATGGTAAGAACGTCAAAATCTTGGGTGGATGTCCTCGTCATTCTCCCTGGGTGGGAGAAAGCTCGACCCCGTCGAGTAAGTATCTCGTAAACACTGGTATAGCTCCAGCAGGTCGGGGTCCAATCTCTATATCTCCTCGCGATTCATCCATGTGTTCTCCGTCTTCGGTTTCCCTTTCCATTGGATCAAGTACCTTTGGCGCCCACCATCTTTAGTGGAGATGATTTCATCACTAAGTATTGCTTCCATCTCCTCCGCATCAGGTGACGTAGGAAATTTTGAAAGTGAAGGTGAGCTAAGGTTCTTACTAGGTATGGGCAAAACAGGCTCAATGTTTAGTGGATTTGAAGGGTTAAACTCTGGTCCCTCAAAGGCTACTAGATCATTGATGTTAAATGTAGGATTAAAATTGAAACCTTTGAGAAGGTCTAGCACATAAGCGTTACTATTTATCTTGGATATTATTTTGAACGGGTTTGCGCTTCTAGCATGTAACTTTTTAACGATTCCTACCACTCCGGACCAATCCGTACCATAACAAAATCGCCAACCTTGAATTCTTTAAATATTTACTTAAAATCCGCATTAAGCTTATAATTAGTATTACTTAACTCAATTTTCTTATTAAACTCCTTATGCAATTCCTGAAGATGACATGCAAATGTGGATGCAAGAGACTCGGTGTGCATGATGAATGACAAGAATTGTGGGCTTACACAAAAGTTTTAAACAAAGACAATTTCGACATAAAACAGACATACAAATATACAGACTCACAAGCACACATAAATAGGAATAAAGATGGATCAGTCACAAAATGAGAGGGCATAAAGTTTCCATGTTTAAGGGAATTGCTGTAGGAGGAGCAATGAAGACATCCTTAGCAGAAAGGGCATTGCCATAGGAAGTTTCAGCTAGGTTCATAGATAGTCTCCTTGGAGAAGCAATGTAATCAAGCAAATTTATCCAACTAGGAGAGAGATGGTCCTTAACAGGGAAGGACAAGAAAATAGCGGGCAAAACGGATAACTCAGGAATAAGACAAGATGATGGGTCCTGACTCACAACCATAATGGGATAGCCCAAAGAGTCACCAACAGTTATGGGACTCAAAAGATGGGGTAGTATCCAAAACAGATGTGGGCACAACAGTTAGAGAGGTGACAAGAAAGTATGGACTAATACTCTCTCTATCATTAAAGTCGGTACGAGAAATGGTGAGATAAATCCAATTAAGACAGACACTCCCTTTCAAATGTAAATCGAAAGGAGCAACTTCTAAAATAGATTCCAATAAAACACAATGAGGCTCACTTTCTAATTAGGCTCAGAATCTTTCAGATTACTGTCTTCCGAATTCATAGTAATACGCTCGATAGGGTCAAGTTTAGTTATCAAAATCGTGAGCATCAGCATGTAGGTTCCAGATCCAAGTGGTAGTATCAGGACCCTTAGCTATTGTTCTTGAGAAATGGCCGGGTCTGGCCCATTCCTCGAAAGACGTTTTTATAGGATTCCTGTCTACAACAATTTTCACTTCGGGTTCCGGCGAATAAAAAATTTATGATTCAAATACAAACTTGTCTAAACAAATTCAAAACTCATTCTCATTTGGCCATAATATATATTTTGATCTAATTTATAACTTTTTGAATACAATAGAGATCTTCATCTCTCTCAACTGACAAGCCCCTTCAGGTAGAAAATGGAGCCTTATTTATAACTTTGTTTTGGAGTGCTTTGATAAATTTTATCCATGATCCAAAATATTTTATTGAATAACTCAAATCCCATCGATCATAGTTCATTTATTCAGAATTTAAGTGCCTTAAGGACTGTAGAATTGAATGTTTTTAGGCTCATTGGCTTCGTCTCGTCAATCAGCTCGATTTGAGTATGAGCATGTTAGATTTGAAGTCCGTTTGGTCTTTCAATTAATGCCATGAAGCTTTCAAGTATGCTTCAAATATTTAATTTAAGTTCATTTGGATTAGATCATATTATTTGTGATATCAATGTGTTCATTTCAATGAGATTGAAATTGAAATTCAGATGATCTTGAATTTAATTTTGGAAATTTTCAATTTAAATATTATTTTGAGGTTTGTACAGATCAATTGAATTTTCTGTAGATGGGTCAGGTAGATCTTGATATTGGATTCTTATCAAGCATTGTCAATGGACATGATTGGTAGTTGGGAGGGCTAAGTAGGTTGGCTATGGATTCTTGGTCAAATACATACTTGAGTTGGATTTGCTGATAGGTTAAAGCTTACCTATATTAGGCTTGATTGAAAATAATAGAAAAATCCTAATCATAGAATATCGCTTTTATTTTGCTAATTCGAAGGTTTAATTGATCATGAAATTTAGCGAAAGTGATTATATATGCTGCATTACAATCGGATTGGTTGGTCCAACTAGTTCAACTAGGGATGGTTGATCTAGTCCAAAAGCTACTTTTGCATAGAGCTGATCAAAATTGGAAGGAGAAAATGTGAACTGGTCTGATTTTTAATGAACTAACCGATTATAATATAGATTAATTTCCAATCTTTTTATTTTTATCAAATGGCTATAAAAGGTTCCAACAAGTTTGATCCATCTTTAAAAAAAAAAAAATTGATCCATCTTTCGTTTGTGTTTTGAATTTTTAAGTTGAATATTATTATTATTTAAAGTTGAATATCTCATAAATAATGGAGGTATTATAACTCAAAATTATGATTTAGAATCATTTTAAAAAATATTTAATTGTGAAGTATCCTGATTTAGATGCTATATATTGAATTAGTGAAAATATTATTATTACATCATTTAAGTCATAATTAATTTAAATGTTTTAATACGTCATTCGGTTCAACACCGGTTGAACCATTGTATATTGAACCTCTTGTTCTTCTGGTTCAATATTTGATCCGATTTTCAAAACCTCGTATATGCTAGTTATTGTGTTTTGGAAATCCTTGTGAATGCAACTTTTCTTTAGTTTTATTATTTGGCACATGCAAGTTTGCTTGTGCGCTAGGGCTCATCTATTTATGTATTTTCTTTTTTTTTTTTAACTTTGTTATGAGATTATTTTGGTTGCAATATGCTGTTATCATTTTTTAATTGCTTAATGTTAGGCGTTAATAGCTTTTCTAAACATTTGCAGCTATGCATCTTGCTAGGGGAAATCATGAAAGCAAGAACATGAACAAGATATATGGTTTTGAAGGAGAAGTCAAGTCTAAACTAAGTGAAGCATTTGTTGAGCTTTTTGCAGAAGTGTTTTGTTGTTTACCTTTGGCTCATGTGATAAACGACAAGGTGTTTGTGGCTCATGGTGGGCTATTCAGTGTTGATGGTGTCAAGCTTTCTGATATCCGTGCAATTGATCGCTTTTGTGAGCCTCCTGAGGAAGGTTATTTGCCTTTACAACTTATCTCCTATTTTGACTAATGTGCATTTATCTTTTAGTGGTCCCTTCCCTTACCTACAAATGGACGATGGCATTTTTGTTGGAAAATATTTTTTTTTCTCATTGTATGCTACTTCACACTTCTTTTAAAGCAATAAATTTTTTTTTTTTCATTTGGAATGCTGCATTACAATCCATGCATTATGTAGAGCGGAGTATGGGACAGAAAAACTACATTTTAGCGACTTCATTATGGCATGCCTTTACTTGTTTACTTTTCTGGTTGTTCATGATTATTCTTAAGCTAAATCTCGAACTTCCACTTATTCCATTAATTTTTACATTTGATGGATAAAAGGATTGATTGAGCCTCTTTTATTTTTAATACAAATAAATTTTATTTTTATGGAGCATACTTGCTATAAAACATGATACATCATTCATGGTATTTGAATGTGATAGTTGATGTTCCTAGCTCTGCTGTAATGTCTTCCTGGAAATAAAATTTTTGACTTGCTATATCAAATTTAGAATTGGCAACTTTTTGGAAATGGTTGTCTCTAAATGGGATTGTTGTATGTTAACTATGATATCATCATGCTATTTTACTCTCGGTATATGAGTAAATTATTAATGATAAAGAAGTTTTCCTAGTGCTTTGAAAAGGAAATGTTCGGGTTGTTTGTTCTTTTGTTTCTTAGGGTTGCTCGTGTAGTGTCTTTTATGCTTATGCCTTATCACGTATAACACTTAAAATTTGTGTATTTATAAAACTAACATCCATGTCATTTTTTAACTATCAAACCTATGTATTTTTGTATGTCATGATCAAATCGTTTAAAAGTTGACTAAAAAAATAAAAATATGAGTTGGGGGTTTGTTATGAATTTTCAATATTTGGGTGATAATATGAAAAATAGATATAAGTGGGTATTAGTTTTGTAAATACTTGAATTTTCTGTGTTCTATTGGAGTTGCCTCAAACTAATTAACCAGCTTGCTTCTACTCTTTATATGCCTTAGTTATGTTTTATTGAAATCATTCTTGTTTTTTTTTGTTGGTTTAACTTTTGTATTTCTATGCAACTCATCTTGATTTGTTGGTTGAGAATTTTGACTATCAACCAAGAGTTTTTGAGTTCAAATCTCACATATGTGATTTTTGTGTGAGTTCTCCTTAATTGACGCATAAGTCCAAAAAAAAAAAAAAGTATTTCTTAAAAAATTTCTTTGACAAAACTTTATTAATCATTCAAGATATAGGTTGTTACGCGAGTCAAATTATAATTTTTTAATTGAGTTCAACTTGATTAGGATGAGATCTCTAATTCCATTAAAGATTATCTTAGAAATTTTAGTCGAGTAGAAATTGATTATAAACAATGATAAATTTTCTTCCATTTCTTATTGCAAGCCATCGCTAGTTGTCAGTCGCTCTTGTCGTTGCTCATTGCTCGTTGTTAGAGGGCATAAGTGGTTGCCCACCGCTACCCTTGGTCACTGTTAGCCACTACCGCCAGTCGTAGCCACTATTGCCATTCGTCGCTCGCTATTGGCCATTGCTGGTTGCCTTGCCATCACTATGGGCAGCCAACCACCGCCCATTGTTGGTTATTGCCACCGCCCATTGTTGATTATTGCCACCGCCGCCGCTATTAGTTGTGCCTGCTGCTACTTGTCACAGGTCTTCAATGACTGCCCATCGCCATGCCATCGTTGGCCTTAGCCACCCCCATCGTCATCTGCTGCCACCTTCACCATTGCTAGCTACTGCCGTCACCACTTTACAGGAATTCATTTTACTCAAAAACCAAACACAAAAAAGTAATCTCATGCATTTATTTTATGCTCAACCAAACAACTTTAAATTAAATTTGAAGAATTTACTTTACAATGCTTTGTTTTTCACCAAACCAAACAAGCCCTTATATACAATAGCTATGTTAAGTGACAAGGGGTTTAAAAGCTTTTGTCAAGTTAGTTGCATATGAAGTGAGGCAATAGGATCCTAGTTTAAGATTAAGATAAAAGGAAGAATTAAATGCTATTTTAAGAAATTATTAAAATATGAGCTCTATGGAATAAATTATTTTAGAAAATCATAAAGAATAAAATAATGAGATGTATTTAATACAGAGATGAGGATTTCTTAGGTGGATGAGTGACAAAATGCAAAATGAGTATATGCATGAAAAGGTTGAAGAAGCTCTAGTGGCAGATAGGATTAGAGAGTCACCTTAGATTTGGTTATGGAAAATGTAGGCCTTTTGATGACCCGTTTAGGAAAGTAGATGTATTAGATCTGACATATATTTAAGAAAGGTAGAGGTGGACCTAAAAAGACTTGATTATTAGAAATAACTTTTTTTTTTTAAATTTAAATGAGAATTGGACTCTTGATAAGATACAAGGAAGAAAAAGGATTCATGTAATTGACTCCGTGTAGTGTGATAAAGGCTTGTTGTTATTGTTGTTGTATTATAGAGCAATCCACAAAAGTGAATTGGAGCTAGCTTTGAAGAAGATGCATGAAGGTGAAACTTTAGGTTTATATGAGATACCTATTATGATTTGCTGAGAAATAAGATATATCGTAGCAGTTTGATTAAATGAATCTTATCAATGAGATTTTGAAGACTTAGAATAAACAAGGAAAAAAATGTGTTAGTACGAAATTTAAAAACAAATGTGATAGTCAAGATCATGTTTATGTAGAGGAATAAGATGTAATGAGTCATATAATGAAGTTAGGAGTGAAGAGCAATGAAAAATATGCTGAAAAATTTTTATTAGTTTTGAAGAATAACTTTTGCCATGCATGCTAGGAAGTTCTATCATAGAAGCGATTTTGGTGTTAAGATTATTAATGAAAAAGTTTAGGGAGCATAGAAATAAATTTTATATGATTTTTGTTGATCTTAAGAAGATAAGATTGCATATCATGACAGTTTATTTAGTGCACATTAAGGAAGATAGGTGTGTGCCAAAAGCGTGTTGGCGTTATTAAAAATATATATGATGGAGGACATACTCATGTTAGTATAGTGGTTTTAGAATGATGCCAAGTGTTCAATTATAATAATATGGCATCAAGGATTAAAATGAAGCTAATATTTTTTTGAATTGATTATAAAAATAGTTCCAACGGATTAAAGCTATATAATATGTTTGAAATTCATCACTGGATAATTGCTTTACTTCTTAATTGATTTATTATCAAAATTGATTTAATTTGACTGTGATCCATAAGAATCAGTTTGGCTAACTTGATCGTCGGCAACACACAAGCAAGTCATTGACAACTCAAGAAGGTGCAAAATCGGTCCTTGGGAGTTGGATGGGGAAGAGTGTAAGGGCAAAAAAGAATTTATAGAAACTGTCATTAATCTCTGTGTTTGCACTTAAGAATCAGTTTTGTTGCGTCTTTTCTGTGTTTTGTTATTAATTGTATACAAACATCTCTTTGTTAGGTTTGATGTGTGAAATACTTTGGAGTGATCCACAACCTCAATTTGGAAGGGGCCCTAGTAAGCGTGGTGTTGGCCTTTCGTTTGGTGAAGATGTGACCAAGAGATTTTTACAGGAAAATAATCTCGGTAAGTTTTTATTTTTACCTATAAAAGATGATTTGCAAGGTGATTCTAATTTCACACATGCCTCTATGAAATAATGTTAGATCTTATTGTTCGGTCCCATGAGGTGAAGGATGAGGGCTATGAGATTGAGCATGATGGAAAGCTTATAACTGTATTTTCTGCTCCCAATTACTGTGACCAGGTAATGAAGCTTTTGATAAAGAATGCTCTATTGAAAACTCTACATTTTCTGATATGATATGATGTATATTTTTAACTATAGTCTTTTAAGAGAAAAATGAGAGCTGACGTAGTAGCATTTGCCAAATTTATCAGTGAAAAACCGAAATGCATGATAACTTGCTTTATCAGAAGAGCAAATAAATGCAAATTCTATTTAGGTATCTTTTCTTATGATTGGCGATGCTATATGTTTAAATAAAGTTTCTGTTGCTTTAAATTGCGAGATTGCCTTGGTATATGCTTCTGAAGCTAGCAATAGTTGAAATAGTTGAAAGGCACGTGGTTTGCGTGTCATGTAACATAATTTAGGAATTAAATAATGTACAGAATGATTATAAGAACATATATGAGCGATTAATTCACATAATTACTAAACTAAACTTTATAAGTTACAAAGCAAATTTTAAAAAGAATTTGGAGCAAATATTCATGGCAAATGGTAATCTTGGGAATGGTATTCATACAATAATATGATATTCCATTTTATCTTCTCACAAAAAAAAAAAAAGTCTATCAAATATTTTGATAGGAAATACTTGATTTCAAGTAATTCCTAGCCAAAACTGAAGCAGAACAAGAAGAAAACTGCTGTCTCGAACAGTGGACAACAAATATGCTCAGGAAAACAGTGAAAATGCGAGAAGATTGAGAGACAATGCAAGCAAAGGCTTGTATTTTACTAGTAGACAAAACAAATAGCAAAGATACAATTTGTTCTTCAATTCGAGAGGAAGAACGTACTCTCCAAAGTCTCCAGCGAAGCCAAGAGCCCAAAGCAAACCCTAGATCTCAAAGAGAAAACTCAAATTCAAGATGAGGAGCTAATTCCCCCCAAACTCCTAATTATACAAAATTAATCATAAAGGACAATCATAAACTTCATAAAACAGCCTTTCACGTTCAAAATTTCCCTCCTAAACTCCCCCTCTCAAGCCTACGTGGATTCACGGCAGAGCCGTTTCCGCCCAGGATTTCCGCCCAGGTTCCGTCTCGCGTAGACGCGGACCGGTCCCTGCTGGACCGGTCCAACCGGCCCATCCTGGGCCGGTCTAACATTACTGCCCTCCCAAAGAATCACCTTGTCCTAAAGGTGAAAATCTTGAAACTGCTGTTTCGCCATCTCTTATGGCTCCCACGTGGCCTCGTAGTCAGGAAGGTTCTTCCACTGGATCAACACTTCCTTAGTTTCATCTTCTTTCTGACAAACACCCCTCAGCTCCAAAGGTTCCAGGATCACCTCTAACTCCTCCGTAAGTGTCGGCGGTAGCTCGGGAATGGCGATGTGATCACCAATGACCCTTCTCAGCTGTGAGACGTGAAAAACCGGGTGTATAGTCGCCGATGGGGGTAATTTCAGTCGATATGCTACTGCCCCGATCTTTTCTATCACTTCATAAGGACCAAAGTACCTTGGAGCCAGCTTTTCATTCCTTCTGTTGGCAACTGTCTTCTGTCTATATGGTCGGAGCTTCAGAAACACCCTCTCCCCTGCTGCAAACTGTATGTCCTTCCTATGCCCATCCGCCTGCTTCTTCATAATTTGCTGTGCTCTCAGTAGATGCCT